GTTTCGGGCTCCTCGATACCTTCCTCTTCTGGCTGCTGCAAGACATGGGCGCTCAGAAGTACCTGATGGGCATCACGGTGACTGTGGGCAGCCTGGCAGGCGTGCCCATCCTCATTGCGTCGGGAGCCATCTTCAACAAACTGGGTCACGCCAACACCATCGTCTTAGGATTTGCTTTCTATGTTGTAAGGATGTTCGGTGAGTTGAAATCTTCAGGTATTTTGTGGGATTTAAATACATGTTGCTTACAATTTCCTGTTTTTATTTTTTCTCATGAACAGCAGTGATGGTACTTTGATAAAATCCGTAATGAACCCGAATGGTTCAGTACCAACACATTGAGGACGAGACTCGTGTTGCCCGACAAGCTTCTCGGGGGACAAGTGTTCCTCTGCACAGAGAATATTTTCTGTATGACCTGACTTCATAAATCTCTATACAGATCTGACTTAATAATCTCTATACAGACCTGATTTGATAAAGCTCTATACAGACCTGATTTGATAAAGCTCTATACAGACTTGACTTGATAAAGCTCTATAAAGACCTGACTTGATAAAGCTCTATACAGACCTGACTTGATAAAGCTCTATACAGACCTGACTTCATAAATCTCTATACAGATCTGACTTGATAATCTCTATACAGACCTGATTTGATAAAGCTCTATACAGACCTGATTTGATAAAGCTCTATACAGACCTGACTTGATAAAGCTCTATAAAGACCTGACTTGATAAAGCTCTATACAGACCTGACTTGATAAAGCTCTAAACAGACCTGACTTGATAAAGCTCTATACAGACCTGATTTGATAAAGCTCTATACAGACCTGGCTTGACAAAGCTCTATACAGACCTGATTTGATAAAGCTCTATACAGACCTGGCTTGAAAAAGCTCTATACAGACCTGATTTGATAAAGCTCTATACAGACCTGATTTGATAAAGCTCTATACAGACCTGGCTTGACAAAGCTCTATACAGACCTGATTTGATAAAGCTCTATACAGACCTGACTTGATAAAGCCCTATACAGAGCTTTATAAGGTCAAGTGTATCTGTTGACCACCAAGGACCCATCTTGTACTCCTGCCATGTCCTTGTGACTGACCATCGGGGATTATAGTGGTGACTGGCAACTGGAAAGAATATAAGAATGAAAGGCAAAGAAATCTTCTCATTTAACTAAACATTACACAAATAAACCGCACATAAAAGAGAGAAGCTTACGACGACGTTTCGGTCCGACTTGGACCATTTACAAAGTCACGTCAAGTCGAACCGAAAGGTCGTCGTAAGCTTCTCTCTTTTATGTGCGGGTTATTTGTGTATCGTTCCAGTCACGGTATTGTGCCTTTTTTTGTCATTTAACTAATTTCGCCAATGAGAATAAATACACCTTAAATTACACGAAAGACTACAGCTAATTATCTTAGGCCTATGATGACATCGGAATTTCATGAGTGTGAGATGCTGCAGCCAGGATGAATAGACAGAAATATTTCATACAAAATAATGATATGCAAAATTCATTACAAGATACGTGTACTGGATTTGTATTTACATTGATTTAACACGATAATAACATCAACCTCTACAGAAGTAGTGAGGGACATGTACAGGAAATAACATAAACTGAGTGACCTGCCTCTACAGAGCAAAATATAGATAGTAAACATAGAAAGGAAACAGATCTGGCTTGATTATACAAAATGAAAATTGTTTTCCACGCAACACTTAGAAAGATTTAGCAAAGGTGTTGTTTACCAACACCATTCCCGCTATATGTTTCAGAGATAACCCACACTGGCCAGAGGAAACCCTAGCTGTCGTTTTGGTCAGTTCTTTATCTTTATCTGTTGGGGTTTATTGATGACGTATTCCCGCCAGGATATAACATCATGGCAGGAAGTATATAACATCACTGTATGACCTATGGGCTTAGTGCTCAGGTATGATGATAATAATAACAATGCAGCCTTATATATAGTCGAAGTATAACCTGAGGACTCCTGTTATTCATACTTCTTGATATAATGTCAAGAATTTTATTAGCTTTCTTATAAGCAATTATAGACGGTTGTCAGTTTCTGCCAGCCAGAACTCTTAAATTTGTGACCATGAACAAATGCAGTATTTTGCATTGATTATGTGAATTATAATTCATTAGCTATTTTTCTCTGTACACCATCTTCCTTGAGACGTCTGTACACCTGTCTCAAGTTACATTTGTACAGTATTTGGTCTCCTCTCTCGCTGACAAATCCTCTGGTCAGCCAGTGACACTTTGTGACCAGTACAAGATGCCGTGCCGGACCTCGTGAAGGGCAAGAATAATCTTGGGTACTGAACTTGCCGGGGTATTTTAAAAGCAAGTTTGAGCTCCTTAAAGCGGAGTCGTAATGCCGATAACTATGGATATAAATACTCAATATGCGACTGTACTGCATCTGAATTGAGCTTGTTCTTAATATCGTTTTTATATTCATGCTTCATTTAAATTCTGAGGTTTTAACTTTATAAGTAAATTTCCATCTGTAGTAATACCATCTGATGGAAGTTTACGTTAAAGCAGATCATATTCTAGTTATTGGACTAGATGTGGTCTATTATGCTTGAGTATATCCTCAAAACTTGTGCTTGGAGATACTTAGGTGTAAGCAGATTTCCACCAGCCATTGTACCATCATGTAATTTAGGGTCTTAAGATCCCTGGTTTGGACCCCCACCTTGTTACCGGAATTGACTAGCTTATACTTGTCCATGGACCTTTTACCCGAAAACTTTCTAACTCAGAAAGTTGCTTTGACCCATCCCCTGAAGTGAGGGTCGCCTTAGACAGCCCCTCTGAAGTCAGTGTCGTCCTAGACACAGCTGAAATTAGGGTCACTCTAGACACAACCTCACACTGAGACCTTACATTCTCTGCTGCATCACTGAACCTCCCTGAACTTTCCCTCGGGAGACAATGGCGGGTTGGACTAAGGGAAAAACTGCACCCTTCAAGGCGTCCCATGTTCTCATGTTGATGTAGAATCTCTGGACGTAGCATAGGAAGCCTCGTAGCTGTAACAGTGATTCTGATATGCATAAAATATTATTGAATGAACTGTTATGGGCAACAACAGTGACGAGACACGTACAAAAAGGTATAAGCTGCATAAGAAGCTTTAACTGGGAGGACGTTCCGCCCTGTGTAGAGCGTCCTTTATCTCTATCTTCAAGCTTGTCACCAACACATTTCACACAACACATACATACTAGAAGTCTTTCAACAATTTCTCACTCTTAAAGTCTATTTTAAAAAATACTTGAAACTATAACGATGTATTTTAAGTAGTAAGTGCTGGGAGTGGAATAGTCTTACCTAGAGGTAAATAATATCATATTACCTAGAACTTAATGTTTTACGATTACCTAGAAATTAAGACTAACCAGTAACTTGTTCCTATATATATCATTATTCTGATGACTAACTAATATTATATTATAGCTGTTAACACTAATAGATTTTAAACAATATTCACATAAAAATGACTTCAATAATAATAATAATAATAATAATAATAATAATAATAATAATAATAATATATTATTATTATTATTATTATTATTATTATTATTATTATTATTATTATTTTAAGAATATTTACTGCGTGGATGGGAGACATAATACTGACAAGTAGAGCAATAAAGACATATATCAGAGCAAGATTTTACTAAGCAACGTTTCGCTCACTTCGAAAGGTTCACCTCTAAGTGCGATCTCAGATAATATTCAGTATCTTACCTTCTTCCATATGATTTGCTGGTGTACACACACACACACACACACACACACACACACACATGATAACGACATATAAAATACTGCGTGGAATAGACAAGGTGGACAAAGACAGGATGTTCCAGGGAGGGGACACAGAAACAAGAGGCCACAATTGGAAGTTGAAGACACAAATGAGTCAGAGAGATAGTAGGAATTATTTCTTCAGTCATAGAGTTGTAAGGCAGTGGAATAGCCTAGAAAATGACGTAGTGGAGGCAGGAACCATACACAGTTTTAAGACGAGGTTTGATAAAGCTCATGGAGCGGGGAGAGAGAGGGTCTAGTAGCAACCGGTGAAGAGGCGGGGCCAGGAGCTAGGACTCGACCCCTGCAACCACAAATAGGTGAGTACAAATAGGTGAGTACACACACACACACACACACACACACACACACACACACACACACACACACACACACACACACGGAAGTTAAAAACTCAAATAAGTCATAAGGATATTAGGAAGCATTTCTTCAGCCTTAGAGTTGTCAGGAAGTGGAACAATCTGGTGAGTGAAGTAGTGGAGGCGGATTCATACGTAGCTTTAAGATGAGGTACGATAAGACTCCTGGAGCAGGGAGAGTGTGGACCTAGTAAAGAAGCAGGACCAGGAGCTATGATTCGACCCCTACAACCACATATAAGTGATCGACTCACTGCCTTTACGAAAGTTAAAATAATTTTGATTTTAATCTGTAGTAATGTAAGCATACTGGTTCGATCCGAGGTAGGGGAGGATAAGTCCAGTTCCTGGATCATGAGCCCTTCACCCGCATGTAGGCACCTCCCTTGAGGGACTAGCTAACAATGGGCACCATTTCCCTCCCTCAGGTTATTCCTTCGTGATAGATAATTTGTGGTTCTCTCCTCCTTCAGGTTACTCCTTCATCACCAACCCGTGGTGGGTGATGCCCTTCGAGGCGCTGGAGTGCTTCACGGTGTCACTGATGGGAGCAGCAGCTGTGTCGTACGCAGCAGCACTCTCCACGCCCTCAACCATCGCTACTCTGCAGGGCGTGTATGGCGGAATACACTTTGGCGTTGGTACGTGCTTCTGTCCTCTACCACATACTGCTTTCCTACTACTACTACTGATACTACTACTACTACTTCTGCTACTACTACTACTACTACTGCTGCTGCTACTACTACTACTACTACTACTACTTCTGCTACTACTACTACTACTAATACTGCTGCTATTACTATTACTACTGCTACCACTACTGCTACTACTACTACTACTAATAATAATAATAATAATAATATCACTACTACCACTACCAAAGTACCACACCTAGGTAATCTATACATATGCTGCTATGCATGACAATTTATGTAACTGTATTTATGTGTACCTGTACCAGAATACTACTACTACTACTACTACTACTACTACTACTACTACTACTACTACTAATAATAATAATAATAATAATAATAATAATAATAATAATATATTGCACCATCTGTCAGGTCGAGGCGTAGGGAGCTTGATGGGCGGCTTTCTGATGGGCCCAATAGGAGTGCGTAATACATTCAGGTTGATGGGCGTCATCTGCGCTGTCACCTGCATATTGTACTTCGTCATCAACCGCATCTTCTTCAGGAAGTTGCAGTTAGAACGAGAAGAAAAGGAGAAGACAGAGGCTAATGAAAACCACACCATGGAGAAGAACCAGAATGGTATTGTGGAGAATGGTACCATGAAACACAAGAGTAACGAGGAGGTGAAGGATGCAGTGAAAGGCAAAGAAAGTGATGCTCGTGTTGTTAACAGTGGAAAGGGTACATATAATGAAGCCTTCGAGAAAAATGAGTAGGTTTCTGGGTATGTTTGGGTGAGCCGCCTTGTATGTTGTGATCAGTGACTGTCTTGTTGAGTCACTCAGTATGTTGTGATCAGTCACTGTCTTGTTGAGTCACTCAGTATGTTGTGATCAGTGACTGTCTTGTTGAGTCACTCAGTATGTTGTGATCAGTGACTGTCTTGTTGAGTCACTCAGTATGTTGTGATCAGTGACTGTCTTGTTGAGTCACTCAGTATGTTGTGATCAGTCACTGTCTTGTTGAGTCACTCAGTATGTTGTGATCAGTCACTGTCTTGTTGAGTCACTCAGTATGTTGTGATCGTGACTGTCTTGTTTAGTCACTCAGTATTTGTGATCATGACGTCTGTGATCACTCAGTATGTTGTGATCAGTCACTGTCTTGTTGAAATCACTCATATGTGTGATCAGTCCGTCTGTGATCATCAGATGTTGTGATCAGTCACTGTCTTGTTGAGTCACTCAGTATGTTGTGATCAGTCACTGTCTTGTTGAGTCACTCAGTATGTTGTGATCAGTGACTATAACACCCACAGATATGTTGTGATCAGTGACTGTAACACCCAACACAGGTATGTTGTGATCAGTGACTGTAACACCCACAGGTATGTTGTGATCAGTGACTGTAACACCCACAGGTATGTTGTGATCAGTGACTGTAACACCCACAAGTATGTTTTGTCAGTGTGTACACCCACAGTAGTTGTGATCTGAAATAAAACCCACAGTATGTGGTGAAACACAAGGAAAATCAGCTTTAACTGGGCCAAGATTTGCACTGAGTAGAGTTTTATTTAGTCATAACACAGAGAAATTTTGTTAGACCGTCAAACTGATCAATAATGACCTCATATCAGACAACATTTTGCTTGGAGATAGAGCCTTTTCAAGCCTTTAGAGAGTACATGGTAAATCAGACAGTACATGGTAAATTAGAAAGTACATGGTAAATTAGAAAGTACATGGTAAACATAGGTATTTGAATAAATAGTTTAGAAAACTGACAAGTTGATAATTGAATAAAGATACTCAAATGCTGCACAATGTCTCCATTATGAAGGACAGGTATATAGTGCTGGGAGAGCATGTGAAGAAAGACGAAGTATGAGGTGTCACTGCAGTACCTTAAAAAAATATACGAGTGAGAAAGGTTGGGTTTAGATGAGGACCTGCTTAGCATGGGACAGTAGGCCTACTGGAGTGCTCCTCCATTATTTCGTTCGTCTGTGTTCTTACAATGTGAGGTCAGGAGAGTGGTATGTACTGGGAAGCATGTGAGACTTGAGGTTGTGACAACTGCAACCCTCCTCACTTTTGGGTGGTGGAGTCTGTGGCATGAATTAGAGATGATTTAAAGCATTGCTTCTATTTCTGTCTTTTGAATGGATAACAATGCAAACTGGAGCTGTGTTACCATATAAAACACAAGCGTTGTTGATGCTCGTGGTGCGATAAGCATATCTGAGTTCGTATATCCTGCTGAACAACTCACTAGCCAACTCACCCTCGAATGCCCTAGTAAAACTTCTGCAAGGGATAGCGTCGTTGCCAGCATTCTCCTCGAGGATAGTATTAACTCGTTTTCCAAGAAATCAGGGCTGAAAATTCTGAAAGAGACCGAGTGGTGAGACCAGACAGGAACGAGACCATTCTGGTCTGTGGGTGTGCAGTACACACTAAACTGAAAAGAGATGCTATTAGTGTTTGTGTGTATAAGAACATCAAAGGAAGGAAGGTTGGTGTCATATTCTGGTAAGGTGAGCTGAATGGAAGACTCACTAGCGTTCAGATTGTCTCCAGGTGAGGCCTGATTATGGACCGGGCCTCGGGGGCGTTGTTCCCCCCGGAACTCCCACCAGGTAGACTCCAGGAGCATGAAGATATCAAATGTACTGCGTCCGATGCTGAGGATACATCCGCAAGGATATCACAGAGTCTCGGGGTCTCAGAGAACTGCATGTATAAACACAAATGCAGCATAATGCGATCCTTTACTGACAACGTTTCGTCCACACATAGTGACGCCACTATGTTCCCTATATATATACTCACATCCCCTCTCTCCAGGAATATCTCTTTGTGACTATGTAACCCACTATGGGCGAAGTGTTGTCAATAAAGTATCACATTATACAGCATTCGTGTCTCTGTCCATCTTTTCGGTATTTTATACCATTTGTCTCCAACAAGGAACTCCATGTAGAGGTGATTATCAAATGGTATGCAATACCGACAGGTTGGTAGATAAAACACATAGGCAACATTTAGGCAACTTTATTCCGAAACGTTTCGCCTACACAGTAGGCTTCTTCAGTCGAGTACAGAAAGTAGGCAGGAGCAGAAGAGATGTGTAGACGACTTCACATCTCTTCTGCTCCTGCCTACTTTCTGTACTCGACTGAAGAAGCCTACTGTGTAGGCGAAACGTTTCGGAATAAAGCTGCCTAAATGTTGCCTATGTGTCTTATCTACCATTCCATGTAGAGGTCAGCGAGGGCCGCACCATCTCTGAAGGCACTTGATTTCCAAGCCACACGTTCTCTCAAATAAGGTTACCATGCTACCAGAGTCTCTTTCAGCCATGGCTTGCTAAAACTCTACACAGACTGACACGTTGACTCAGCTGAAGCTCCGGTATACTTGTGACTGTCCGTAACAACTACTGTCATGTTATCTGACGTGATTGTCTTATCTGACGTGACTCTTGTTATCTGACGTGACTATTTTGTTACCTGACGTGACTACCTTCATAACACTTATTTTTCTCCCTATTTTCTAAAAGAAGATATTTATTGAAGTCTGTGTTTAACAGATTCAATCTATTCTTATAATAGATGTAGTCTGTGATTGTAATAGACGCAGTCTATGCTTGTAATAGACGCAGTCTACACTTATAATAGACGGAGTCTATGTAATAGACTCAGTCCATACGAATACCTCAAAAGTACTGTAAACTTAACTTTTTGACGTGTCAGTTTACCAAACCATTAACATCACATAGTTCAGTAGGTTTACTGTAGTAAACAGGTACTTGCTAGTATGGTGCAGTAGGTTTACTGTAGTAAACAGGTACTTGCTAGTATGGTGCAGTAGGTTTACTGTAGTAAACAGGTACTTGCTAGTATGGTGCAGTACGTTTACTCTAGTAAACAGGTACTTGCTAGTATGGTGCAGTAGGTATACTGTAGTACACAGGTATTTGCTAGTGTGGTCCAGTAGGTTTACTGTAGTACACAGGTACTTGCTAGTGTGGTCAAGGTTTACTGTAGTACAAAGGTACTTGCTAGTGTGGTCCAGTAGGTTTACTGCAGTACACAGATACTTGCTAGTATAGTCCAGTGGGTTTACTGTAGTACACAGGTACATGCTAGTATGGTCCAGTAGGTTTACTGCAGTAAGTAGGTTCTGTTACTCTGTCCTTCACATACTAATGTGTTAACTCCTGTGAACGTTGGATGTGATGAACTAACTACAGTAAATGTGAAGGTTCGAATACTTATAGGAAATAAATGAATATCCTGAAGTATAGTGTCCATTCATTTTATAATGTAGTTACTTAGTGGTAGAGGACACACGAGGGTTTCCCTGATGGGAGGTCACCTCTCAACAAGGGTGTGAGTTATTGTAAACAAAATCGAAGTAATCGAGTTTAGGTAACTGCAGTTCACACTTCTGTGGCCTTAATACACTAGTCCTGTTTCCTGACGAACCTTACCTAACCTAACAAGGATACCATAAGATAAGCACATGAATGAGCCAGAAAACTCTTGGACATTGGGGTGAATTACCTTAAATACAACGTCCATTGCATTTGTAATTTTGTAGTTCAGTTGTTTTTTAGGAATATATCAGTTGTCCCGTAAAGATATTACTGAGACTGTTTGAAGGGAGTGGTGTAGACGTTCTTATATTATTTACAACTATTCACTCAGTTGTTAGTGGGCTTATTGCATTCTTGTTTTGGGAATATTTCGCGCTGCCTATAGTGCTTCCAGTTCTCGTCACAGGTTATTCCAGCGCGCAGATTTTGAATCACTACCTTCAATACTTTCAAGGAATATATTATAACATGTCTTCCTGGCCTACACACGAGAAATTAACATTTTAGGAATTTTAGCTCTACCCAGTAATTTAGGTGTTTGAATTTACACGGGAACTGTAATACCTCCACACATTCCGTCTGTATTTAGTGAGAATGTTAATGTACAGCAGCATCTCAAGTGCCTTATAAGGAATCATCAATAAGTTGATATCTCTTGTTTCACAAGGTTCTTCTTGTCCAACCTGTCATTTTCCAAGCATTTGTTATAATGAAACTATTCTGTTTCAAGATAATAACATCTTGCTACATTGTTACCCTCAGGTCTCTCTCTTTACTCTTTTGTCGTATTGGGTAAGTTTAGTGTCTTTGAAACGTCATCGTTAAATATCGTAGGATTTTTCTGCGGCCCACTGAAGGTGGGTTTATATATGTATGAGGTAAACAGTCCCTCAGCCCTCAGGCTGAGGGACTGATTACCTCATCTTCTGTGTATAATTCTTCATATTATGCCCTTGTATTGTACTGATAAAGCCACTGGTTGGCGAAACGTCTACAATGAAGATACCCAGATGTGGCACGTGTCTAATTTTCATCTTGTCGGTACTGTATACCATACATGTACAAGGTTATCAATGATACATTCAACACTGTGTGCAGGAATACATATTTGTAGTTTTGTTATTAACTTTAAAGTTATATCAAGGCGAACATGCAAGTTATAGACCAAGTGTTTACTGTGGATAAAGTTTCGATCTGTGTAGAGCTTTATCACGCCTTGATGAAGCTCTACACAGAGCCAAACACTGTCTCAAGAGATCTTTAGTCGTATTTTGTGTTAGTGTCTTACATACTACTTGTCCAATATACACCATTTCACCCACTAAACTTCCGGTCCCCACTATGCTACTGGACACGTGTATCCCTGGCCCCACCATGCTACTGGACACGTGTATCCCTGGCCCAACCATGCTACTGGACACGTGTATCCCTGGCCCCACCATGCTACTGGACACGTGTATCCCTGGCCCCACCATGCTACTGGACACGTGTATCCCTGGCACCACCATGCCCCTGGATATGTGTATCCATGGCCCCCCATGCCCCTGGACACGTGTATCCATGGCCCCCCATGCCCTTGGACACATGTGTCCATGCCCCATCATGCCCCTGGACATGTGTGTCCATGGGTGTGGTGATACATCAATCACACTCTCCATAGTAAATTTGGAAGAGTGAATTATTGTATACAATATATGTAGAACGTCAACTAACACACACACACACACCACACACACACACACACACACACACACACACACACACACACACACACGTCATTTCCAGTTAGTTAGGTAATACAAGCAAATTCTCATAATAATAATATACATATTTTGGTAAACCAATGAAGTTTGTTGAATAAATATACATGTGATACGTAACGAAACTATATTTCAAATAATTATATGTGAGAACACCGAGAATACGGAAAATATATGAAAGGTTTTAACTATCCCAGTTTTAACCACAATTATAACAAAAATTGTTCTCTAAAAATTTTTGTTTTATTTTTCATAAACCCCTTAACACGACCTTGAATCAGGTCGTGTCTTCACTAAGGTTCAGGATTGACAGA